TTGGTTGTGTTGTGAACTGTTGGTTGGCTTGACCGTTGCATGTGGATTGTTGGCCTATTTGAGTTTTGTTTCCAGTTTACGATTAGATTGTTGGCCTAGTTAAGGTTGGATTCTGTTGTAAACCTTTGTGTAGGATCTACAAGATCATGGATTCTGTTTTCATTTGGTATACTTCAAAGTGGAGTCCTAAATCACCTAATTTTAAACAACTATTGACCTACATGAAGTCTCAACAGAGAAGTACATGAGCAACATCTGTTATTTGTGATCCCTACAATCTCTGTCAAGTTGCTACTTGTCTTATGTCAGTCCCACACACAATCTAATCAGTCTTTTGTTATTGCACCTAATTCAACCAAAATGAGACAATAGAAAGAATTACTTCAAAAGGTCTAGTTGCAGGTAATAAGAAATACATGATTCAACCAAAGTATACATTCAAAATGCACACGGCACAACTGACATAAATAGAAGTTACTCTTAACAAAAGCAAGCTCCCAAGTGGGAGTTCCTAATTCTGAAGGCTTGTTAATACGACTGAACTTGAGCAAATTAAACCTTTTTTTTTTTCAAACGACAGAAACTATATCTCATTCCAACAGAATAAAAGTACAAGCGGCCAAAAACCGAGTTATACAACTGAGAGGCCATACACTAATCAGTGATGCCTAAACCAAACCACATTGCCCAAACAGAACAGCACACCATAAACTACCTGCAGCAATACTATATCCTACTGCCAAATCAGAAACTGAGGATCACAAACAGCCCCACAAAAACAAAACTACATACTGGAAACACCTCTTACTGAACCTCAAAAAACAGGTAAAAACAATAAGAAAAACAGACAGCATGCTAAAAAGACAAGCCCACTGACACTAGACCTAGGCCAATCTCTTCACCTTCTGCTCAATTTTCCAGTGCTTCCCCTTTGAAATCCAACCAGTCTCGAGTTGCTGCTTTGAGGATCTCCCTCTCTGGTTGCCAAATCTGCTCAAAAATCCAGAGATTACGTGCCCTCCATAACCACCATAAGATGTATGTGAGCAAATTAAACCTGATTCCGTTTATATTGAAATGCAGAGAGCGATATTCATATATAAACATATGAACTTTGGCACTATAGCACAACAATGTTGCTATATGGATTGCATAATACTAACTGCTAAAACAAAATGTTAATTGGTAATTTTAGCTACACATGTAAGAAAAAATAAGTTATATTCATTTAGAAAGGAAAATAGAATGGTAGAAGAAGATAATGGTGTAGAATATAATGTTATTGCCTGAAGGGAAAAAAAATGTTTAAATTAATGTTGACAAGCAAATTCAGAATGTTAAAAAAAAACTTTTCTTCAAAATGTTTAGGGGGGAAAATGNTAATGTTGACAAGCAACCACGGAAGTTATTAGATACATAGAACTTTTCATTTGTATAATCATCAAGATTTATCTAATTAAAATTAAAAGTAAAAACACAAATAATACCATTCATTTTGTTTTATTTTTATATACAAATTACATAAATATAATTAAAAAATTAAAAAATATATCATATTATATATTCTTAATAAAAATACCATTATTCGTTCATATATTTTCAACTATTAATTTTTTTAATTAATATTTTTTATTTCTATATGTCAAAATCAATTTTTATATTTTTCTTTCATATTTATTCAAAGTCTTAAATTTATAAATCTATACTTATATAATAAGGTGTACCATTTACGAAATTTAGTAAGTTGAGAAGTCAATGCAATAAATGCATTACTATTTTGAGCAACATAATATAATATTATATCTATACTTATATAAAAGGAGATTTTATTTACTACATTTACTATCCAGAAAAGTCAACTGCATTAAATGCCATTACTAGTTTGGTATTATAATATTTTATTTATTTAATTGATTTATTTATTTATTTTATTCTAAAAAGGTAAGTATAATAATAAGATTTTAATAATAAAAAAATCAAATACCAAATAAAAATATACACTTTGACTTATTTGATTATATTTGGTATTTGATTATATCAAATATATTCCTATTTAGTATATACATTAAATACTTACTAAAGTATTTATTTGTTTTATTTGTCAAAATTAAGTATAGATTTGTTTATATTATCAAATCATAAAAAAATATTAAATCCATATTGTAAAAAAAAATCATATAATTTTATAACAATTCTACTACACTATTTAACAATATTCCTTTTTTATTATATAATAAAATAATAATTAAATATTATATGGTGAACAACAATAAGTAAAATTGTTACTTTCTCTTATATCAAAGGATAAATTTATATGCTAAAATTAAATTTTTATTAGTATAAATGTTTTAATGAGATAATATATTAATTATTTTACAAGCTAACCCTAACATGCTCATATTTAATGTTTTAAAAGATGTAGAAAAAAACTTATAATAACTCTATTGTTTTTTAGACTTAAACGTTGATTAAAAGAGGTAAACATTCTTAATTTTTTAGACTTAAACATTGATTAACACCATAGATTGAGAGTCTATATTTTGTAAAATTCCTAATTGTAATAAAAAAATTAATTTTTGCTATATTTTAGAATATCTTTAAATTCATTATAAAAAAAAAAGAAAAAAAAACTACAATGAAAAATGCAAGTCAGCTATATATCGATTTGTTGTACTCCTCAAATCACATTCACAATTTAGCTACAAGGAAAGAAAACTTATTGATTAAAATATTATTTTGTCAGTAGTCTTAATGTACAAGAGACTTTAAGACTCCACTTGAATATTATAAAACTTTTATTGAACATTGTACAATTTTCTTGCGTATTATAAACTTTTATTGAATATTGCATCTTATAATATAATATTCTCTAAATAAATATATCCCGTGCTTCGCACGGGTCACGTACTATATATATTCCGTACATTTTTCTATATTCATGTATATAATTATAAGCTTGGGGATAAATAGACTTAAAATTGTGCACCCCGTGCATCGCACGGGCTCTGTACTAGTTGTCATTAAAATGAATCCCACTTTCTACTGTATGTCTTGTGTTAGGCCTGACATACTATTTTAAAAAATATACTTACTATTATTAAAAATGTCATATTTAAAAATATTCATAAACATACTATTTTAAAAAAATATACTTACTATTATTAAAAATGTCATACTTAAAAAAAATCTTAAACATAAATAATGACATTTGATTTTATAAGAATCTATATATATCTAAAAAAGTTGATGTAAAAATCCTTTTTTAGAAACCTAAAAATAATTGAGTTGACTTTTGACTTTCTATTTATGTATTCTACTTTAAAATCGGAAGAAAAATCGTGAAAAGGCAGTGGATATTTCGTTAATTTAGCATGAAATTTGCGTTAACTAAGCAAATGGATATTCTCCTTAATAATGGTGATATTTCCGTTAATTAAGCATGTGAAATTGATTGTCCGTTGCAAAAAATATGAGACTTACTATCTATCCAAATACAATCCATAACTATCTTATCACTTTTGGTTAATAAAAAATATGTGAAATTGATTGTCCGTTGCAAAAATAATGGGACTTACTATCTATCCATATACAATACATAATTATCTTATCACTTTTGGTTAATAAAAGTTTGTATAAAAGGATATTCACTACCACCATTACAACTCATCATTCACGAGTTCAGAGAAAAAAAAATACAGAGAATAATTTTTCATCGCATATACAATATAATGCTTTCAGACTGGGGTATACTTGATTCCGTTAACAAAAGAAACAAACTTTTTTTTGTCGTCTGAGAGCACCCGCATTATTGGAACCCATGACGAACGGGAGAGCTGTAACACATTCCATATACTGTTTCATGAACAGGTAATATTTACTTTGTTATTTCAATTTTATATAATTTAGAAAATTATTTTAATTAATATTTATAAATTTGTATCGTAGGGTGCTTTCATTAAATGCATAATACGTTATCCGAATATGAGAGCAACAAACTTTATATAAACTGAGAGCAGTCTAATTTTTGTAAAATATGTAAACTTTAAACGTATTTTTATATATAAAATTGTATATACTTTTAAACATGTTAGTTGGGCAAACTTTAAGGATATATATATGTGTGTGTATGCTAACTTTAATTATATATTTTTTTCTTATAAAATAGTCTAGACAGAATTGAGGCAATTTCACATTTTTTGATAATAATATAAAATATTTTAATACTTTCACATATGTTATATAATAGTCTACGTATTCTTAATGTCTTTTGGTGTTAACATTGTTAACACACATAATATTAGATACTTTTAAACATATTTAGATTATTTTTTTACTCATTCTTTAATATCTATGTGCATAAAAAGAGAATAAGATTTATAAAATATTTTCCGGCAATATACTAAATGTTAGATAAAAAATCTCATTTTATTTGTTATATAATATTTCGAGTTGCATTAATTTTGATTTGTATGTGTAAACTTGATAAATTAAGCGTATGAAAAGGAGCGTACGAATTACTGTAAGGATTTAAAAAATAAAAAATAAATCTAATTTTTCAATATTTTCTACTAACTTCTAAACGAATTTATGTCATAATTCGTCATAATTTTCCCACATCATGTCAATATTAATTTTATATATACTAGGTAAAAGGTAAATCATTATCTCAATATTTATTCTATATATTCTAAGTAAATCTTCTCATCTATCTCAACGGTCCGCAGGTAGTATTTCATACTTTTCTATTCATAATCAAATATATCAAAGTTTCACAAATTTTACTTCACAAAGAAAGTGTTCAATAATTTACTTTGCAATCCATTTATTTTTGTTACATATATATAAATTATATTATTATTAATATTTCACACGTTAAACATTTCAGGAAAATATACCATCCCGTGCATCGCACGGGCTATGCGCTAGTTTTGATATATAATCTACGGGAAACATTAGAACTTGTGCACCTCCTAAACGAATTGACAGAATTGCCCCTTGACTTGTACAAAATTCCCGCCCTCCCATATTCTCATGTCAAGAAAACAAACCCCCAAATACCAAACGAACATTACGAGAAATCGAAAACCCTGACCACAAAAATGCGAAAATTGAAACCCTCAAAGTCCGATGGCGACGAACTCGTTTCATCAGAAGGGGGCGGATCAGAAAATCTTCAGACAGTGTCGAACTACGAAATGCAGAGGTTGAAGACGATTGAAGAGAACAAGAAAAGAATGGAGGCTTGGGGCTGCGCAAAATGGCAAATTCCTTCATGGGATCTGTTCATAAACCTCATACAAACAATAATGATAGAAAGGGAAAGAGAAAAATCGACAACGAGGATGACGAGTATAATCCAGCTCAAGACGATGAGGGAACAAGTTCCTCATCCGAAGATAATGAAAGTGATGAGGAGTTTTTAATCTCTCAGAAGAAGGTACTATTTGCTTGTGAATCGTCTTTTGCATATTCTTTTGTTGGAAGTTTGCTGCTTTGTTAATGTTGAATAGCTTAATTTGTGTTGTGATTTTCATGAATAAAAAATGAGGTGCATGTTTTGGCTTGTTTAGCACCATGTATATATTGATCGAATTTTGCTTCAGGTGAAGAAAAATTCAGTTACGCCTAAAAAGCGGGGTGCAGTTCAAAAAACAACTCCCAGTTCGGATTTCGTGGAGGATGATGATGAAGCTCTGATGCAGGTCAAGATCCAATTTTTCAATTTTCTTCTTCAATTTCACATCAAGGGGTTTATTTCTCAATTTGTTTTTGGTTTTAAGGTTTCAAGTTGTTGAAGATATCATGTGTTTGTGGTTAGTGTTATTTTTAAGTATTTATCTTATGCTGCAGGCAATTGCTCTTTCGCTACAAGATACTACAAATGCTGCAGCAAACGACAAAAGAAAAGAAATTCCACGCAGCCAAAATGATTCAGGAAAGATGAAGAGGAAAAAGCCGGTGCGTGTGGATATAAATGACTGGTTATTATGTAAAGTCCAACCGCATATATCTCTTTTTATTCTTATCTTTTTTTTTTTTTGGTTTTTTCCCTTATGGGCCATGAGCAGATCGGCGGTCGAGTTAAAATGACTGAGGATGAAATGCTGGTACACTTCTTTCAGTTTGATGGTAATGGATATTAGTTTATTCTTTATCTATACTTTTGTGTGTATTATACTTTTTATGAGCTTAACTCATCTGATGTAAGTCCCTTCTCTTCACCCATGTTTGGGTTTAGTTGCGCGTTAAAAATGTATATTTCTTCTGGTCCTGGTTGTGTATCAAGTTGATTATAACAAAAATCGGGCATCTATATTATAATTATGTACAACATATATATTTTTGTGTATGTGTGTCTATAGCAGACACATTAAAATGAGTTCAATTTGATTTACAAATTGCATGATACTATCAACTTGTATAAACCTAGAAAATCAATTTTAGCTTTATTTCTGCTACTCTTAAGCTATGTCTAAAATATCTGTGGAAGTTCAATATTTTGCATTTGTATTTTTGGAAAATTATTTTTCACAATTGATTCAACGAAATGCTCAACAGAAACTGGGAAAGGGGGCTTCACTCTCAGGGATGTGCAGAGACTTGCCATGGCCCATGATTTTACTTGGTCCGAAAAGGAGTTAGCAGATATGATATATTGCTTTGATACTGATGGAGATGGAAAGGTCATTTTCTATTGAATTACTCCTGCCCCAATATTATAGTCCCCTTTCTCCGCCTATTGTCGTCCCAAAATAACAGTCCCTTTTATTTATGTAGTTAGTTCTTTGATCTTCTTATACCCTTATTTGATTATATTATTTTATTTATTTATTTATGTTTAATGAAAATTCATCTTGGAAATGGTGTGATAAGGGTATGTTCGGAAGATTGAGTATTTTATTGGTTTTATGATGTAAGTTAAACGTATTTTCATAATATATGTGAAAATGAGAAATCACATCATTATCCTAGGTGCCTTAAAAGACATAAACTTGTCGGAAAGGCTATTGTTCCCAACAATAAGGACTGTTTTCGTGGACTGGAAAAACGTTAAAGTCTATATTTTCCAAACTGATGGGTATGCTTTATGTTATTTGTGTGTTTTTCAAGGTTAGCTAGTGCTGTTCTAGCAATTTTTTAACTCTCTAATTCTCAAGCAAAAACTATTCGTCAATTAATATGGTTGCACTGGCCTGTGCCGGTTTCTGAGCTGATACCTATGCTAGTGGAATCCAATATGATTGTACGAAACAATATGTAATAAATCAATTGTGGAAAATTACAGATATAATAGGAAATCCTTAAGGTGTAGAACTCAAAAAGATGAGTACATCTGTTTTAGATGATCCCAACTATCCCCTTTATAAAATCATCACTCACAGAGTTTCTAATGTATCTTCACAGCTGTTACTAGTTTTTGTCGATAAACTCCTGATCACTTAAGCTGATTGGTTCACGTTTGTATTCTCTCGAGTGATTTCGTGCATTCATTGTCTTCCAGATAAACTATGATGATTTCCGCAAGATTGTGAGTGGATGCAACATGCTAAAAGGTTCTGATGTTGGTGAAACTAGTAAGTTGCTTCTCAGAAAATGAAGATTAGTTTGTGCATGCTTATAACACTTATTTTTTTATCATTTGGAACTAAATATACAAGGATGTTTTCCAGAAATTTGAGGTTTTGCCATTGATTAAAATTTTGAAGTGTTCCTCCAAACCAAATTAATAAAAAAACAAATGTCAAGGGGGGTATTTGCAATGACACTGCTACGTAATTTTAGCTACCACTATGTAAGCTTTGTTTTACTCTAATCCCTGTTCTGTTGCTGTTGCTGTAAATCTGGTTATACGCTCGATTAACTGGGCCCTCATTTGCTCCAGGTTGACAAGTCTCAAAATGGACAGTTGACCAGCAGCACTTACTCATCATAAGCAAATCAAGAGTTCCTGCTCGGTTTAATGCATCGCCACTGGTCTATTAAAGTTTAAACCCCATTGTAATTAAGATCCTCTAATGTTGTACCACAAATGCCAATAGTTTTTGTACTTGTAAATTACACATTAGCTTTCACATTACCAAATGAAAAATGTGCCTATAGATCTTTGAAGATCATGAATATAACCTGTAGATTGCTCAAGTTCTCTTGAACGATTTGCAAAACAAAGTTCATGCCTTCGAACTTAAATTCTGGCATCCCTTGATTAAACTTTTGAAACACGAATACCCTTAACCAAACCTGGGGTAAATATTTAAGGACCTACTAGACTGAATGCTGCATACTGATCATAAAAAAGGACAACGTAAATGTTCTTAAACCACAATTAGCACCAACCACTTAGCACACTCATTATACAACAAAACATCGACAAACCAAGTCCAATTCGCACAAAATGATTTCTGCACGGTCTAAACATAAGTTTTATATGGCTAGGCTAGTCAACAAAGCAAAAAAATGAAAATACAAGAATGGCATCTAGTAGCATGGGAACAAAACAAATGCGAAAAGATAGTTGCAAATGTGAATGCACATAAAAAATTACAATTAACCCATCAAACCATTCAGGCATATGGTTCCATGGTAGAACAAATACAGCTAAACAAGTATAAAGAAACTCTTCCTTATCAATGACATTCCTGTCAAATGTCCTAAAAAATCTGAACAAATCAGACAAACTGAGGTATCTAAATACGAACGCGAGGCCGAGTTTCAAATCAATCATGTTCTCTTCAGAAGGTAGCCCAACAGGATCCCAATCAAGCCAACAATGATTAAGTACATAAACGGAATCCCGCCACTGTTGCTTTGACGTCTCAAGAGCTCCTAAAAGATAAATAAAATTAGCAAAGATCGTCTAAATACAAACTTATATATCCATCATCGACATCAAGGAATATATGCTTATTAGCACAACAGAATAAATGATAATTTCTTTTCCATCTTTTCAAACTTTTTCTTTTACTCCCAAGGATTGCAGTCAAAACATAATATATGAAAGAAGTGGCTAACAAAAAAATCAAGGATCATAAGCAAGAAACAAATGATTACGAGTTCATTCTGAAGCTTCTGATTTTGCCTAAAAACAGAATATTTCTCCTCAGTCAGCTTTGCAATCAGAGCCTTGGCCTGCAACAGATACCAAGTACCAAATATTAGAAACAGTCCAGAAAGGTGCAACATTTTCAATGTCAGGACAAAACTGTACTAGTGAAATTCAACATAGCTGCTAAACTACAAATACTTCACATAACATGCCCATGAAAAAACAAACACTGTCAGAAATTGGTCATGCCAACTAGAGCCAGCTCATGCATGTTGAAAAGAGATGAGAAAATTATATTCATAAAAGAGGACAAAAGAAAAAAGAACAAAAAACACTAAGATACAACCTCCGATGAGCTCTCCTTTGGCTCAACAAATGCTTTCGACGTCTACAAAAACATAAAAGAGAACAAAAATTAAGAGACTGCCCGATTAAATAATATGTTCCAAAGCCCACAAACAAACATACTTTTGTAAAAATCAAGAATAAAATTCTAACCCTGCTATGATCAGAAGTCTGATTTACATTCCCATTGTCTGATACTGAGGCCCTAGGTGAAGAACCTTCCTCCGAGCCTTCTCGTACAGGGGAAGGTGGTTGGGGGGGAGGAACATATGAAACTTTCAGCTTGCATTCATCTAATTGGTTCCCAGACTCTTTGTTGAACTAATACAAAGGCAATATCATTTACCAGCTTTGAGTGAATAACTGCTGCCCAAAAATCTAGTTTAACAATGAATACTGCAAAAGCCAAAAGTCATCATAGACCTACCATTTCAGGTGTAATATCTTTCACGGTAACTCCAGGGCTCACCACCACGCTCTGAAGGAGAAATTTATCCCTGCATTGCATGTCTGGTGGAGCCTCCTTTTGGGCTTGCATAGTAACTGAATAAACATACAACTTACCGAATTCAATAATTAGGTATATGCCCGCGTAATCCACACATATAACTAATTACTAATCCTTTCTGGGCTTCATTTATTTACAAGCTTCAATTGGATTTTAATATCCAGAATTCCATGATTATAGGCAAACATAATCACAGTGTCACACAACACAAAGGATGGAGAGATAAACCTATAACATCACAAGTAGAGTGAGGCATCACCACTCCTGTGTTCGGCCTCACACAATACTTCTTTGGACTTGTAGTCTTAACCTAAAGAATCATATTAGGAAAACAAATAAACAAACAAACAAAAGATCAGTCATTTTACCTCAAGGACGATTGTTATTTGTTTGTGTCCTGTAAATTCCCCCAAAACGAATGAAAACGCCAACTGATGAAATGTAAATACATTCTCATGAATGAATGCATGAAAAGTTACCTTGAATGCAACATAATTATTGGACTTGTTGGATAATTGCATGGAACATGAGATCTGCTTCTTCAATTCGACTATCAATGAACATAAACATCATAACAAATTACATATAAGCATCAGAATCAGGAGGAAAATAAAACTAAGCACGGATCTAAAAGAACACAATTATATTCAACAGTAGAATCTTCTAGGGGCAACCCATGGATAAAGAAATTCCCAACAAACACTCACACGCATTAAGATATCTAAGCAGAAACAACAATAGAATGATGACATACAGGGGAATTGGAGCTCGAGCGGGTCAATTTGGAGAAGTTCGCCGTTACTCATTTTTCAGAGGATCGCTGGTCTGTCCGCCTAATAACTGGTTTACGGAGGTATCCGGCTGCGGCGGAGTAGTTTCCCGACGGCTGATATTAGTTCGATGCACCGTTTCAGGCGAAAGGCAGAAATTAAGAAGAGGGACGAAGGAAGAGAGATCTGAGTTTTCGAAATTTCGGAAATTTTCAAGGCCTTTTTTCCAGTTAGAGAAAGAGAGGGATGTGGAGAAATAAATTAGTAAATTACACAAACGTGGAAAGTGTCTCGTAAAACACACTACCCATATTCTTTTTAAATGTCATTTTGACTTTATCAATCATTAACAAATAAATGACGTTTTAAATTTTTTTAACATATTTTTCTATTATTATCCTCATTTAGTTAATAAATACAATATACCTTTTCATATTCACTATTCATATTTTATCAAAACATCCATCTCTATCTTCATTAAATAAGATTATTATTAGCAAAAAAAAAAAAAATATTCTTAATTACTATGCAACTTCTCAAAAGATACTTATTGTGAATAGGAGAGAGTACTACATTTTTCATTAAATTCACTTTACCACAACTAGTACGTACGTCGTGCAATATACAGGACATAAATATTAAATTAGTTATTTTCACAGGCTTTGTCCGTTTAAATATATAAAGCAATATGGTTACCATCTATTTTCCACCTCTTTTAATGAGTGTAATAAAGAATAAGATTACAATATATTTTTTACACCTATTTTAATCTGCGTTGTTTTTTCAGTCAAAACATTAAATATGAGCATGTTAGGACTAACTTGTAAAATAATTAATATATTATCTCACTAACACATTAATACTAATATAAATTTGATTTTAGTATATATATTTATTCCTTGATAAAAAATAACAATTTTACTTATTCTTGTTCACCATATAATGTCATTATTATTAAATTATTATTTTATTATAAACTTTGTTGTCATATAATGTCATTATTATTTATAAAGTTATAGAAATTGTACGTCTTCCTTTTTTTTATGTAATGAAAAATATTTAATGCACGTTAGTATTATTTATTTATGTAATCAATTTAAAATATGTAAATAAATTTAAAATTAAATAGTGTATAAATATTTTACAAAATATACACATGTTTTTTTAGAATTTAATTTTGTATACTAATTAAAAAACTTTGATTTAGAAAATGCCAAAAACTCAATCCCTTCTATGATCAAGATTTTTCTAATTCGCATTATAAGCATTTATAGTTTATTTAGCATTCTCTGCAACGAAAATATATTTTACAAGAATTTAATTATAGAAATAAATCAAAATAAAAAAAATTAATCATGGGCGCCAATAATATACAAATAAATTCTAAAAAATAGTTAATATATTTTAATTTTAATTTTTTACAATCACTGTAACTATTTAATGTATCTGGTCATTATCTCTTAAATGGTAAATTATATTAATTTGAAGAACAATTTATTTTTTATATTTAACAAAATAAAGCTTAAGAAAAAAATATATTGACAAAGATTAATTCACCAATTTGATTTTGTCTGATTACTTGGAGAAAAAAAATTCTACCTAACCTGTTACGATTTTCCATAAATATTTTTGGATACAAAGTGAATATTTGTGAAAAAAAAATTAATATTATGGTTAGAACTTAAAATATGGTGTAATATTTATTTTGACCAAATATTATCAACATGGATCATGGAAATCAGTCTTTTAATTTATTATAATGAATATCAATGAATTACAAATATTAATAAAATAATATTTATCTTGACCAAATTATTATCAATATGAATCACAGAAAATCAATCTTGTAATTTATTATAATAAATATCAATGAAAATAATTCAGATATTAATAAATTTATTTAAATAATTTTTTGATCATATCTTATTTGATCTTATTTGAAAACGTGTATCTGGAATCAATTAATGCATATATTTTAAAAGTTAATAAATTATTTACGTAATCTTTTGATCATATCTTATTTGATCTTATTTGAAAACGTGGATATAGAAACAATTAATGCGTATATTTAAAAAAGTTTTAAAAAATAGTTATGCATTAAATGTTTCTTAAATTTTTTGCTATTATTTTTAGTAAATGGTAATTCTTATTATATATATATATATATATATATATATATATATAAATTATTAAAATGTGATGCTTTTCGAAGTGCGTAATCCAATTCGACGAGCCAAATCATTTCAAACTCGTGTTTGAGATTATACTCAAATATGTCCTTATTTTGTTGACTATTACTCGATTTGTGCATGTGTATATAATATATACACAGTTATACGTGCATAAATATAAATAAAATATTATAAAACATATTTATGCTTATTATGTTTAAAATTATAAAATTAGATAATGAGAATATCACATCTATCTATATCTATATATCTATACTATTTTAAAAGTGCCAATAAATATGTAAAAATATGATTTGTCTACAATACTCTTACTTTTTCATATTTACAATCTCAAATTTGAAATTTAACTAGTATTCGACATGTGCAAATGCACATATATAAATAAAGTATTGTGAGTTATTTGTATGCATATAATGATTAATGATTTTTCTTGCACTTTTTTTGAAGGCCAAATTTACAATTATAGGAGCTGGAATATTTATTTTTTTAAATTGCGTTTATCATATTGGATGTAATGTATGTTTTGGTATGTAATTTTTTTGTGAATTATTTATTATTTATTTAAGAATTTCAAATATGTTTTTTTATATTTCAAAAGAAGTTAATTTAAATGAAACCACAACAATGACATCTAATCACGTTAAATAGTCAACACATTATATGATCAGTTGTAAGTAAATCAAAATTTAAAATATTTTTTGTAATTTTAAAGTGATTAGTGTGTTGATTATCTAATAATTAAATGAGAGGTTAAATAAATAAAAAATAATAGTTTTTTGAGGGAAAAAGTTATTTTGCCACATAGGTATAATTTAATAGATTTTATTAAATGCTCATGAGCCAGCAATTATATATATAGACATCCATTCTATAGTAATATTTTTAATTATTAACTAATATATAATGATTTAAATACCTACCAGAAACACATATTGTTCTCTATGCAGAAAAAAATAAAAAAATAAAAATAAAAATAAAAAATCCCCCCACCTCTCATATCTGAATANAAAAAGAAAAAAAAAAAGAAAAAAAAAATGTGGTTAGCCCCTTCTCAGATCGGAGAAGACGACCTACAATCACCAGGTGCACCACGGCGGTCCTCTTCAGGACTGGAAAACTGCAACCGCGCACACCAGTGAATTATCGACGCGACCTCCGTCGATCAAAATAAGGTAAAAGAACTTATCTTATAGCATAAGTCAATCAAATTATGAACAATATTCTTTTTTCTCGTGGTTAATGAAATCTATGATGTGGAAACTGGAATAAGAGGTGTGACTTAGCCTTTCACATGGTGTTGGAGAAAAGTGTAGGGGCGGTGCCACTTGCAGCCGCCCCACTTGTTAATAAATAAATAAAAAATGAAAGTGGAAAGTAGGCGCCGCCCACTTCCACTTGAATTAAAAAAATATTAATTATTGCAATATGTGGGAAGGAACGTACAAAGGTGGCCAATTGGCCAACTTGTTCATATCAATCTCTCCTATAAATATAGCTCCTCGGCAGAAGAAGAAAATTGCGGAAGAAAAAGAATAGAGAGGAAGAAAGGGAGAAAGAAAAAGAGATAGAAAAATATTCAGTCCAAAAGAATATTTGAGGGATAAAAATATTAGTGATAAAAATACAGAAAAAACTATCAGAGAGATATTTTTATTCCTATTTTTAAGTGCTCAATTATCGACTTTGTTCCAGTTCGCCGGAGCTCGTAAATCTGGTGTGCTACAGATTTAGAGACGTTTGTCGTTGTACCATTGAGGAAGTTACGCCTGAACTGTTAGCACCACACGGGGCGTATTCTTCTTGCAGAAAGAGTTTACTCACCTCAGCTAAAAATCTTTCTGTTTTTTTCAAGTTGTGATTTATTTTCAGTTCTATTGCAATTTTTTAATTTTAGATTATTTGTAAGAACTGAAAAATACATATCAGTTCGTAAAATTCCCGTGTAAATTTACACACAATATCTAACAATCACAAGAAGAATATAGTCAACCTACTGAACTGATGGCATACAACGGAGAAGGTTCTCAACATCAGCATCTGGTCAATCATGTACATGTTGTCCATGTCCCTACTGCTGAGAAACCCGAAAAATTCAATGGGCTTGATTTTTAAAAGGTGGCAACAAAAGATGCATTTTTACTAGGCCACTTTGGATTTGGTGAAATACCTGAAGGACGACCCCCCAGTCATTGCTGAAAATGAAACCAATACTGAACTATGCGCTGCGTACGAGGCTTGCGGGCAAGGAGATTACCTTTACCATAACTATGTCCTGAACGGACTTAGTAATGATTTATACAATATGTACAACTCTATTGGTTCTGGCAAAGAGTTTTGGGCTGCTTTGGAGAAGAAGTACAAGACTGAGGATGTCGGGGCAAAGAAATTCGTCGTCGGCAAATTTCTTGACTTCAAGATGGTCGACACTAAGACCGTTGTATCTCAAGTGCAAGAGTTCCAACTCATCTTGCACGATATCCATGCTAAAAGAATGTCTCTGAGCGAGTCATTCCAAGTTGCGGCTGTGATAGAAAAGCTGCTGCCGGGTTAAAAAAACTTCAAGAACTACCTCAAGCATAATAGGAAGGAAATGAGTCTTGAAGACTTGGTGGTACGTCTTCGTACTGAGGAAGACAACCTTAATTCATCGGGGAAAACCCAGATGACAGTGGCTCGTGTTAACCTTCTAGAGCAAGGAAACTCGAGCAAGAGAAAGTCCCTTAACAAAGGGAAGCAGCAAGACAAGGTTTGGAAGTTTTCCGGCACTTGCTATAACTGTGGAAAGCCGAACGATATGGCAAAAGACTGCAAGAAGCCAAAGAAAGGTAAACCAAGTGCCCTTGTGGCTGAACGCGGCCCTGAGCTGGGTGAACTGACCGACTTTGATATGTCTGTTGTGGTGATTGAAGCTAATATGGTAGATAACCCAAGGGAGTGGTTCATCGATAGTGGTGCCACTTGTCATGTATGTCCCGATAAGGAGGTATTTTCTGAATACACTCCTGCTAAGTGTAACGCCCCGTTTTATTTTAAAGAATTTACCGAGTTTGTTTATAAAAATCAGAGTTAA